CGAAGCCTAACCGGAGGCTCCTCAACAAAGCTCAGTCAACCCCTCACCCCTGTTCTGAGGAGACTGGGTGTCTGAACCCCTCACTCAGGAATGAATTCTAAAAATACCCTAAAAATCAGAAGCCGCCTTCTCTACTCCACCGTACTATAAACCTGCATGAAACAGAACGAACATAAGCTGAAACATACCCTCGGGTTAAAAGTGAAAAATGCAACACCATCCAAAAGAGTACAAGAAAAAAATCCCACAACCTAAATCTCACACAGCTTCTCAGCAGGAGTTGGATTAAACTGAGAAAATAATTTCAATATCAAGGGATAATGCACGCAAGATGGGAAAACTCTTTAAAGCAAACTCTGCAGTGAAAAGTGTTTCCCCCACTCCCTTGGGCGTGGGAAGGGAGAAGAAGATAGATCATGAGAATGATAAGGCCCTGGATTCAGGTTTCTGAAACTGTTTTTTCAACCCTCGGAGGACAATCAGCTCTTTCTGAATCCAGAAGAGCACATCAGAAATGCCCAATGATAGTAAGACCACAGCCAAATATGGTGGGGCAAACTGACTTGGTTCTGCAATTTCCATTCTCCTTCTCCACATTTGAGAAATGCCGTCAGCTGCAGCTAAATAATAATAACAATAATAAACAATTCCAGATCAAGCATGCTTGGCGCACCAGGAAGATAATGCTGGATCATATAGCCCTCCAATCATTGTGTGTGTGTGTGATAGAGAGAGAGAAAGAGAGAGAACCACGCATTATTGGCGGAGCCTTATGAGCCAGTGAACTGAGAAGGTCCAGGGTACCTTCACCTGTACTGCCACAGTCACCTGGTCTGGCCCCAGGTCATCAACCTTTACTGATTTTCAACAGCCCTGGTTCCCTATATTCAGGACATCCACTGGATTTTCTAATTCTTCTTCCCACTTCACTCTAGTCTTAGGATCTGTGCTATGCTTGCAAATATCAGGGGTCAACGTGCACATTCGAAGTTTTGCTCCTTTGAGCACTGCTGATTGTTTGCTTTCCTCAGCTAAAGCAGCTCTGGCATCTCCTGTTCCCACCTGCACCATGGCCGGTACCCGACAGTTGTGATTTCCCCACTGCTGTGCCTACCTGGCCAAGCTCATGGCCCTCTGAGGCCCAGATGAGTGGCCGCCTAAGTGCTCTGAGGTGCCCTTTTAGGCTCAGGATGAAGGTGGGTGTGTTTGCCTTCTCCATCATGGAAGAGCTGGATTTGTCATTGTTTGCACATGGCGCAGGACTTACCCCCTGGGAGACTGAGTCTAAAGTTTCATGAATGATTTGTAAAGAGAATACAGCATCTCCGAAGGATGTGAAATGGAAGGATTCTGCCAATCTGGAAGGGATGGGCGTTTCCCTAAGCTGCTGTCAGAGGGCCCTGTGTTCTCAAATTCAGCTCCAATTGCTAGTTCATTCCGTCAGAGTACTCACTCAGTAAATGTGCTGACTTGATAAGCATTTGATGTTGCTTCTCAGGATACTGATGGAGAAGTTGTCATCCCTGGGATTCGTCTGGGATCGGCAGAGTGGTCTACCTTTCTTGTCAGCATCCTGTGCTTGAGGCAGATTAAAATCTCAGCGGACTAACTGGCGAATTTTCCACAAAGTCTACCCCCATTTTGGGCTCTGTCCTTTCTGGCAGATGTCAGCCTGCTGGTAAAGATGCTAGTTTCTCACCTCTCAGCAGGAAATGCCATGGGCAGATTTAAAGTCACTTGGATCCCAATGCTTTCTCAGACCCTTTCTCCCAGGTCACCCTCAAAAACCTCAGGAGGACACGTTCAGGGTCAATACAGCCCAATGCCAGGAATATGATGCCAATAGGCCAGTTCTTGCTACTGTATGACAGAATAAAGCCCTTAAATGTCCAAGTTTTTCATTTAACCAGTTTCTGAGTACCTACTATGGGTCATGCTTTCTGCCAAAGAAGCCTGGGTGTGAGCAGCAAGAGATGTTCAAACTAAGGAAGAGGCTAAAGATCTCTGGTCAGTCTCCTGGCACCCTACAAAACAAAATTGGGGATTGGTAAGAAAGCCTAGCCTGAGACGAAGAGAAGAAAATCAGAGAAAACCTTCTATGGATGCCAGTGCTGGGCTTGGCAGCTGCCCTGGAGCAAAAATTAACTCCCCATGGCAGTGGGACAAGATGCTGATATTGGCACCTGCCAGAGGCAGACAGCCGAAGTCGCAGCTGCGCTGGTCAAATGAGCTTGGAGACCTTAGGGGGCTGAGACCTCAACGACTATTAGCAGGCTGTGGTTCTCTGCAGGCAGTTTATTGGAATAGGGTTTGTGCGCCTTCTCCACCCCTCTGGGCTGGGTCTCAGAACAATCAGAAGTGCAGGTGGCACATTCTGCTGAAAACCACCCCTGCATGGTCTCTGGGAGGGAGGAGAAAGCTCATCAGAGACACTGGGAGCAACAAAGGGATTCCTGGCAAGGATAAGACCATCCCCAATCCCAAAGCTAAGAAGAGAGAGCTCAGAGGAGAGTTAGCTGGAGGAACTTCGTATTTGGGGATTAGCATCATCTTCAGATCATCTGGCTCCTGAGAGAGGCTTCTCTGTCTTAAAAGATATCTGTTGGAACAGAAATTAATTTGGGTTGAACTAAATTTAGAGCAATTACGATGAAGAATTGGGAAGGGCAATACTTAGGCAATAAAGAACAAAGTGGTGGAGGGAGGCCTGAATAATAACGATGAAAGAGAGCTGAATCAGCCAATATCCTGATATAAATGAAATGTCCTACAGAATACATCCCAGGAAGGAGGGATTGGCAAAAAACCACAGATTTAAGGCCCCTGCAGTGAGAATCTTTTTCAGAGGTCCAGCCCTTACAAAGAATTCTAGACAACAGACTTAAATGATCACTTGAGAAGCAGAGCTGTGTCAAAGTCAAGAGGTGTCAGATATACACTTGAGATATCTATCTTAGGGATGAGAGAAAAATGTAGCTTCTAAGGATATCCAACCAAATCCCCACTTGTTTTATTTTAGAATTTCTAATAAGAAATTCCTTCCTCTGTCATTCGGATATTATTATTAGCTCTGGCTTCCTGTCTCTAAATAACTTCTGCCTGATTCAAGGAACTCTGGCTGTTCTGTTAGAAGGTTCCTATTCTGATCAGTAAGGAACATCAGCGGACTCTGATCCATTCACCCTTCGAACATGGCCCACTGTTGCACCTTGATTTTGCCTTATCGCTCCAACTCTCCAAGCTCAGATGGGCCTTCTGCTGTCACTGTGCCCAGGCCAGTGGTAATTCACTCCTGCCTGTTGTCATCGCTTTTAGGTTGTTCTTGAAAAGATGGGTGTATCACAGTCTGATTTGCTTTACCAAAGAGCAGAGGCAAAAGCAACACAGATCATGGGGTTATGAATCCAGGACATCATCAACAGCCTCAAAAGAGAATTAGAACATGTGAATTCATTTAAGCAGCCCTTTTCTGGTCTGCAGTTTATTGATTCAAATACATCGTGCATGTCTAACTGCATGAATGAAAACTTATTTTCCAGAAGACAGCTCCTCTGAGGCCACAATTTTGTAAATAATAACAACAGAAATACATTTCTGCTGAATTCTGAGAAAAGAATTTGCTAATTATATAAACTCCCACTGCTCTTACATCTCTTTTCCCAGGCACTTTACACAGACTTCAAAATGCTTTGGCTCTCCCACTCTCCTAGTACAGCAGATGGAGTGCTTGGGAGTGTCTGATTTAGAGACAAGAAGGCAAGAGGGAGACGGGCAGCAGCTAGAAGCGGCCCATCAGAGTGTATGCAAGATAGGAAGTGTCTGAATATGGACCAAATCAAAGGCTGGGGCAGCTCTGGAGGAGCCCTGTCTGGTGTTTGAGTAACTCGAAGACACAACTTCTAAGACATTCTTACTACAGCAAAAAAGTGTGTTTTAAAAAAATGAAATGGAAATCACACTCATCACATTCTAGATCGTTCGCGATACTTCATGAAAAATCACCTATGTTAATCTCAACTTACACTTTTTTTATTAGAGACTTGAAAAAAATCAGGTATGGAAAAATAAATAGGTAATTGGCATTCTCAATTCCTTCTCTATGTTGTGCGCTTCTTCCTTCATGTGCTCTATTAAAAAGATACTCAAGCATATATCGGTCAAAAATATTCAACATCAAAGTGGAATGAATGTGCTTCTAATCAGTGTGGCAATACTGCCTTTATTCCCCCTCTTTCTTTCTGAAATAATAAGTAGGGCATGGCTAGATGTAATCAGGGAGTCATGGGCTGCATGGACCCTAGTTACTGTTTCATTTCATCAAAATTAACTGCAATGACATACTTCCTGCAAGACACCCAAACCTCAGCAGATAACCCTTGTCTTCACTGGCACCCCAAATGCCCGGACTGAAGGACAGGAAGTAGTGAATCATGTTTGCTTTTAAGCATGCCAAGAAGAAGTGAGACAGGTAAATGATTTAAATCATTGTGCTCCAGTTCTGGGGCAAATGGTGGTGTTTGAGGGTCACTATGTCAAACTAAGATCACACTGAATGGCAGAAACCTTGCTTGGCTTGCTTTGATAAGAATCTCTCCAACGTGTTGTCCCTGAACAAGATGCTTCCCCTTATTTATTTAATCAGCAACTGATTTTCAAATTGAGGATTTGGTAACTTGAATATGCTTTTATCACTGAAGAAAAATGAGATCTTTGTTGGTGACAGATGAGGCTTTTCAAAATTTAATTTATATGTTGCCTACCCATGCATTCTTCAATGAAGGCTGCCCTTGTTAGCACTGAAACTCCCATTTCCTCTTTGGTCATCTGAAGCTAATTAGGGCTGCTGTTACTGCAGAAGTAATCAATAGTTTTCTACAGTGGATCACATAGAATCAGATCCCTATGCAATTAGTCCAGTGTAGATACACAGAGATAACTTAATGAAAACAAAATATGCTCTGTAAGAGCTATGCACTCATAGATAACTGGCATTCCAAATATTTTGACACATTTAATGTGTTTATTCAAAGTAAGAGTCTTTATAGAACTTTTCACTAATTAAATACAGTTGAGTGTCTGCTGAATTTCCCTTGAAAACATTTTGAACTGAAAAAAGTCAGTACCGAGTACTGTACATTTGTGTTGATTAACATTTGGACACAAATGCACTTTGAACACCAATAGAGCTAAAAGACTATGCCTTTATCTTGGATTTCATAGATTTCCCCTTCCCCCTAGCGATTTGACTAATCTGAGAAGGCAAACACCAGCAGGCAAAGGGGATCTGTAGAAATGTGCACCCTGGTTTCCTCCTCCATCTCTCTGCCAAGGTGGGAAAAGTCAGTGCTCCCCAGCAATTTATCAAGGTGGGATCTCTGCTTCTTTACTTAATGTTGGAGAAAAGTGGCCACCAGTACTTGATCACTGTAGATTCAGAATCTCGCCATCTAAACCAGACTTCGACAGTGCACTTTCGGGTCTACTTAGTCAAGAAAGAGAATAATGGAAGATGATATGTGGTTAGCAAAGCCAGATGCCTTATCACCAGGGTCCTGTCCTGCTGATCTGTGCCAACCAACTCATCTCGCCAGACCTAATGTCAACCCTCTTGATCCACAAACCTTCCTTCTTTTCTAACATGGTCTGCAGTATGTCACGGAGGACATAAAACAAGATGCAAGCAGATCCTTAATGACCTTCAGACCAAAGTGCTCCAAACAGTGGCCAAGACATTGCAGTCAGGAGTAAGGACAATCCTTCGGAAAAGAACTGGGCATCCCAGCATGGATGTGCTTCCAAAGAAAGGACAACCTGCCCATGCCCATGTGTCCCAATCAAAGCTGCCTTTGTCAGATAACCTGAAAACCAAGGTGCCGGATTGCATCATGACAAGGCTGCCATGAGATGCTGCAGAACATTTACAAGCAGCCACCAGTTCCCTCCACAGGTATGCATGCTTGCACTTCAAGACACAATAAAAGACAATGCTTGTCTGCTCTGTTTCCTCCTGCCTGTCCACGGTCATGTGATGCAGAACTTTCTGCTACAGCACGAGGCTTCTCAGAGTCTGCTTTTGAAGAGCTGTATTTGTGAAGTTCATATTGGAGCGAACACTACTTATGAGGGGAAACAAGCTCTGTGTATTTTGTATTAAACCAGTAAAAAAATGAGACAATATCATTACTTTCAAAATATAGAAAGCCAATAGTTGAAATCATTTAGTAGTAAAATTTTTTCTACATATAACCTCATAAGTGTAAAGAGTATTAGAGCGACGTTTCAGCTATATTGGACTCTTGTTAGGTAAAGGGCTTCTCACTCAGGTAAGGCTTAGGATTAGAAGAGTGCTGTTCAGGGATTGAGGTACTGACTCGGCACACTCATTCCCCACTCTCTATTTTGACTAAAAGACAGATACTATATTTAGATGTGACAGGTGTTTTTTCTTTTGTACAAGAGTGCAGAACTGTTTACAGTACATAAACATCAGCATGGAAAATGCTAGTACATATAGAAAGGTGAACATCAGTACCAGCTGTTTCCACAAAGCCCACTCTTGATAAGAATCTTCTTTGTGGCAAAAAAAAGCTTGGCATCAATGTCAGGTTGAAATTTGTATCATTAGAAATCAATGTCATTAGATGAGATATGGGAGTTACCTTAGAAATATTAACTCCTTCTCTAGCTAGGAAAGGCCAGAAGTAAAACTGTTAAAATCATCATCATCATCAAAAACACAGCCCCAGTTTGCTTTACAGCCCAATTGACAAACTGTCCCTTTAAAATACAGCATATCCCAAAGCCTTCTGAGTTTGGAATGGAGCACTGCGTCAGGTTTTTCACAGAAGCCCCGAAGGATCACAAGAAGCTTTCTTGAAAGAAAAAACAAAAATGTTCCAGTTGGATGGAACTGTTTCTTAACTGAGCTCCTAAAACTGGAATTTCAGCTATACAAGAGAACAGGAAACAGATAACTTGGTTTTTGTCTTTTTACATGTCCATATTGTATTTTTTTAAATGCAGCTACGATGTTTCTGCTAAAGATAAAGATAATAGGGTGGACAGAGCGGTTACCACCAGAACCAGCAGTGGGCTCAGACCGCAGCTTGAAGGAGCAGCCATTGATTTTGTGGTTATGTGGCTGGAAGCACCGAGACCTTCTTTTTCATAATTACCCTGTAAGAAAGAATGGTTTCATTATCATTCACTGCATGTCTTCTCTCTACCACAGTATACTTTACACTCTCTCTTCCCCCAGCTCCCCACTGGCTGACCCACTCACCAAAGCTGACCAAGATTTTACCACTGAGACTCAAATTCACTGACTTGCAGTTTTATGGGAAGAAACCATGAATCTGGACTAGCACCAGATACTTTTGATAAACTGGTCAATGCTTACTGCTTGCTCTCCCGTTAGGGATTATTAAATTCATTTTGGGGGAAGATATCTGAGTTCAGGTACCCCTGCCATTCTTTACCTCTCTCTCCAGGGTTCCATGTTGCACAGGTAACTGTTAGCTGTGCAGCACGGAACCCTCCTCCTATCACCGGCTGAAGAGGAATGCTCACGGTCTCTCCCCATCAGGGAAGGAGGGCAGCAGTCATCTCAGGAAACTTGCCCGAACAAGTGACAGTTTGTGTAGAGATGGGTCACAGACAGCACTGGAGACAAGCAGAGCAGCCTCTCCCTGCATGAGCCAGTTCAATCCCAGATTTTATAGATGAGGAGTTGGAGAGAGCAAGCGCTTGCTTGCTCGTTGCTGGGCGAACCAAACCAGAACTCCAGCTTCTGGACTCCCAGCCAGCACAGCTGTCCTTCCTCAGGATAGAATCCTCCAGCCCCAGCACCTTCTTAATCCCATAATGCCAACCTCCTACACCAGGAACCAGGGCCCACACACAGCAGAATTATCGGTCTCCTCACCAGTAAACTGGATTGAGTAATGTACCTGCTCTCATCTACCCATGGGGGCCTGTGGAGGTCACAGGCACCACAGATAGAGAACATCTGGTGAGCAGTGAGATTTGCTATGTATCTTCTCTGTGCTGGATGATTTTACATGACTGTGATTACAGAGAGGCTCAGGGCCCTGGAACACTTGTATTAATCCTGGGACAAAGATCCCGGGTCCCAGGCTTACTTCCAACTTTGTGAACTGGAATTTAAAGTCTTCACCTTGCTCAAAGGGCAGATGGTCATGGAGGGTGGCTTAGATTTCTTGTGGACTGGATACTCTTGTCTTTGAATGCTTTATGTGATATCCTGCCCCAGGGGCCCAAAGGCTATGTTTCTATAAATGCAGGAAGCCTCCAAAAGAAACATACTTACATTGGAAATACAGAGGTGTGTATTGCCCGACACATTGGATTTTAGCTTCTGTGCCTGGAGAGAGACAAGAAAAAAAAATGCTCAAACATAATACAGAAGAGTAATTACTGATGATCCATTAATCAGCTGTCTAGGGCAATGTTCTCTGATAAATATGTGAGACACAGCTGTGAGCTCCATATATAATTGAACATTTTCTAGTAGCCATGTAATAAAGAGATATCAGGTGAAGTTAATTTTAATAATATATTTTATTTAACCCAATATATTACCACTTCAAAATGTACTCAATATTAATAAGATACTTTACATTCTTTTTGTCCATACTAAGTGTTCAGAATCTGGTGTGTCTGGCGTGGCACATCTCAATTCTGACTTACCCCATTTCAAAGCCGAGTGGCTCCTGAAGGAGCAGCCCAGGACTAGGTTACTAAAGAAAACGTTTTGAAGTCATCCCTCATTTCTTAAAGTTAATTTTTGGGAAATACCTCCTTCTAGGTAAAAGTATTGCAATAAACATCTGCATTTATGAGTAATATAGACAGAGGCCTTCCTGAGCTTGTTTGTTTGTTCATTTGTTTATTTGTTGCTCCAGTCAACAAACCCTTACTGAGTACCTGTTTACCAATGCTGGGTATATGCTGATGAACAAAATAGGACCTGGTCCCTGAGTTCTTGGGGCTCCTCTCCAGTGAGGAAACTACTCACTAGTCACTGTTTAGGATCACACAGAATCAGGGGGTAAGGCACAGGGCAGGGACCCTTTCAGATGGGCATCCTCAGAGAATCACGCAGAGCATTACGGATCCTCAATGTAGCCATTTGAAAATGGCTTCCCGAGCAGTTGCAAGGGGACTGGGCTGTGAAGGCACTGAGCTCCCTGTTTCTCCTTAACTGGAACAACCCTCCACTGGGCTTCTACCTGATAATTTCATCATAAGAAACATCCCATTGCTCAAACAATGACAGTGTAAATGCATGTGAAAACTACTGACACTAGTACAACCCTCTCATTTCACAAAGGAAAACAGCCCAGAGAAGTTAAGTGACTAATTCAAGGTCGCATAGCAATTTACTTACAGACTCACGATGCAAACCCAGTCTTTTCAGTTCCTAAATGAAAATGTGCAACCTCCTGCATCACAGTGTTTCTCCCCAAAATCCACACAAAGAACTCCCACAATGCTCCTCCCTCATCCCCAGCAACAGGAGCCATTTGGCACTGACAGACAGAGAGCTTACTTGTCAATGGGCTGAGCCCTGGTTAAGCGTTACACTTGAATCAAGGAGGACCTGGGCAACCAGCTCTGTGTGGCTGGCACTGGCAGGCTGCCCGTTGTGACTTTTGCAACTCCTGGAAGACATGCTAAGCTAAAATGATAGCATGTTCACCCAAGGAGTAATTTATTGACCATAATGCTACTTGGGAGGCATCATAATCTTTACCTATATTTGCATATGCCAGCTGTGAATATGAAATAGAAACCTTTAAACAAGCATCAAGAATAAGACACTGTGAAGAATCCCTGGGCTGTTCAAAGGTCACTAAATGTTATGTATAAGAAGATCAGAGGGGAAATTGGAAGAGGAATTGAACCTGATTCAAAAGCCTGCTTTTAATCTATATTAATAGCAAATCTGGTCCACTGCATTGTCACCTACAGAGAGTAATGTGTAGTGCTTTACATGTTTTATTTCTGTTCAAGTTTGGAATTGTGCCCAGACACCAAAATGGCCCTAAAACATCACATTCTGCCTTTTCTAGGCCATAATCTACAAAAGACATAAGCCCTTGCTAAGGGCCTTTGCATAACTAACAAATTTACTGAATTGCACAGGGGAGGCAGCGTGATTTCTAGACTGGGATGCATTGTGCTCTCAAGTTCTTTCTATGCTTGTGGTCACAGCTAAGTTGCACCTCAGTGTCCTAGACCACAGTAGCTTCTAAGAGTTCCAAGGGCTGGGAAGGCCTCCTTCCTACTTTGTTAGGTATGATTAGCACTAGCAGACAGTGTTTTATTCATTGTATACTCAATCTGTGACACTCATTAGCTATACTGCAGGAGTATAATCCTACCATTATTAAATGATTAGAAAGGGGCTTTCATCAATGGACTAGAAAAGGCCTCTATCTTAACAGGTTTTCTTAAGTGGACTCTGCCTGCATAGGTAGATTTCTGACCCTCATTAGTCACGGAGGGTTTCACACTACATTCAGAATTTATAAGCTTTCAACCAGGGAGACGCGCACAGGTGTAAACTCCGAGGATCTTGTCTTCTATCTGGAAATGGCAGGCATAACTTCAATTACACAGGAAAATGCATTTAGATCAGCTCCAAGTCTGTGCAGTCTCTAAGTTCCTGTTCCCCCAAAGCGGGTACCCCCTTGGCCTCTGTATAAAGGAAAAGGTCAGTTTCTGGCCTTGTCTCCGTGGAGTCCCATTGGCTAAAGCTGGAAGCAGCACCTCTCAGGCTCATCTTGCCTGGAAGCCCATTCGATTGGCATAACTGGGGGAACTGATGAGTCCAAGTAAGAATGTGCAGCCACATTCCTACAGGGGATACTCTGAGAAAACGCCTTCTCTCTCGTTAAACATCTTTCCAGCCCACAGAGGCACTCAGCACTCTAGAGACTTAGCAGTCCACACACAGGACTCTAAAGACTCTGCTTACATTGTGTGTTAACAAGCTTCCTACAGAGCGGTCTGGGTGCTCAGGAAAGCCCTACAGCAGCAGAGGCTGAGCAGAGAGGCTCTGGAGTTCCATCTAAACCTGGCACGGGCCACTGTCAGCTCTGTGAGTCTGATTAGCAGAATCAAAGGATTGCATATAGGTTTTGAGATCTCTTTAAATCTTACACCAAATGAGCTGAGGGCCAGAGTGTGCTGGCTGTCTAGGCTGGATGGGGTCGACAACAGACAACAGGCTGAGAGTTCAGGACCTCTCACAGTGGGCCTGCTGCTGAGAGAGGGTCACAGCCTGGGATGCAGACCTGTGAACTTCTGGCTAGTTGCATGCTTGTGAGTCCTGTATGCAGTGTGAACTTCCTGTGACCACTGAGGGTCAGAAATCTACCTCTGCAGATCCAGAGTCTACTTAAGAAAATCTGCATCTTAAAACCCACTTTGGAAGCCTGAGAAACCTGTTATTTCCACATTTTAAAGGCTTTTATCCCCAGCATTTCTGAAAACATCATCAAGCTATCACTGTCTTGCTAGTCGGGTATGATAAATGCAAACAGATGAAATTACAGGGCATCCCCCGCTTTCAACTACCACAAAAAAAGTACTTACACACTTTAAATGCTGTTTCAGTTGCTGCAAAGTGGGACGTCCCAGGAAAATTACAAGGAAAAAATAAACCCCAAACTCCTGAGACTTTGTAAGGTATAAGGTAAATTAGAAACTGGAAGCGTACCTTTTATCCCTGAGTTACACACTGGTAAAACGAAGGGTACAGTAATAGAAGGGCTGGCACAGTGTTCAGGGGCCCTTCAGTGAGCCTCACAGCCCTGATGATTATGAGAAATGCAGAGAGCCGACAAAGAGCTCAGCCAGCCGGTACCTATGCAGACACCATGCCTTGCAGTTTGTGGTTTTAACACGATATGCCTTTTAACAAGAGATGAAGAAGAGAAGATGCATTTCATTTTTCAAAAAATCAATTTGAACTATTCTTACAGTATGTTGAAAAATGAATTATTTAATCCTTTTTAAGAAAGGGTGTTTCTTAACTCTAATTTATAGCTATAAGGTTTAGGGGAAGCTGCCTGACTCTGAGTTGGGGAAAACACCACCACCGAAATATAGCACACCTTGAGGTTTTCATCTTGAGAATGGGAAGATGAAAATCATACTAGAGAAGCCTGTCCCCAAACCAAGCACCTTCCCTACATTCTGGAAAACCAGGGAAACCTATTCCTTAGGCACGTAAAGCCTTGTCTCTCCAGCAGCCGTTGCTCTCATATTATAAAAGTGTCACTGGTGGTAATCCCCAAGTCCAGGCACGTCGCATAAATGAATTTCCAGGGCACTGTAATTGTGGGGGGCCAGACCTCGCCAGTCCCTGGCACCAGAGGGTTAATAAATGCATTAGATGCTGTTAACCTCTGTTACCTGGAGTCAGAGCAGTGCCTCTCCTGCTTTTTACCCCAGTGATTAGCATTTGGAAAGCCTGCCGTGGTGCCAGCAGCTTTCCTGTGCAGAACGCAGAGATGCACACATCATTTATAGCTCTCAGTCCAGTCCCCACGCAGGTTCTGCCCACAGCAGGCTCTCCCCAAGCTCTGGGGACAGGTCAGGCTTGTGAGCAGCATGCTCACTCTGATTATGGAATTGGAGGCTTAAAAGCGCACTCGCCCGGAGCCTGGCCTTTGCTGCCCCAGGACTCCATTTCTGTAGAGAAGCCAGTGTTTAATCTCCAGATTTTAGGCAGCTGTCAGCCAGCAGGGCATGGAACATTTCTCTGTTCTCCTCCACGCATAAGAAAAGCCAGTTTCTGCTCTACCTCCAGAAAATAAAACCAGGGGAAGTTGCCCAATCCAATAGCAACAGACTGTCCAGTCTGCAGCCAGATAGTCATAATTAATGATGCTCTGGTTCTTTTCTTCCTTGCATTACTGATTAGAGAGATTTGCTATATTGGGAACCTGTTTGCTTAATGACAGAATACAAGCAATAAACAGAGAAATACACAGACTGTAAAATGCAATCAACTTTGCTCTCCAGCACTCACTAAGTACCTAGCTGCATCTATCATACTTGTCAATACCCGTTTATTAGCATACGAGTCTCTTCTGCAGCACAACCTGGACCTTTGCTAGGGAAAACCACTGTATGAGTTTTTCACACAACAGTCCAGAAGCAGAAGTCCAGAGCTCACAGCCATTTCTCAGTTTAAGTCTACATAGTTTATGCTCCCTTGTAAGACAAGCCATGGAAAGAAGAGTATGTACTTAATTGAGGTTAACTGAGCAGAGGAACCGGCTACCAAGTAAGCATCATTCACATTGTATTTTAGTCAGATAGACTCACCTGCTTATAGACTTCAATAGG